TACTAGACTTGGTACTCACTAGCGAAAAAATGATCCCACCCTAAGGTTCAAAATGAGCCTTTTGAAATACCCTGGGGTGTCTTCTTTAAAAAATGGTAGGCCTTTGTGGGGGAAGTTTGAATTCTCAACCTGTCAAATGCCCCAAAATGGGACATGGACCCAGCATAAAAATTTAAAGTTTGAAATAGACCTGAAATTGCAGAGTCTCAAATTTGCTCCTCCAACATCCACATATACCTGGGAAAGGTACACAAGGGGGTATTGCTGTACTCAGACGACATAGCTGAGTGACATATGAAGAGTTATACTGCCGTAGCACACCTAAGGATTGTAAACTATGCAGTAAAATCTCAGTGTGTGTCAAAAAGGCAGAGAAAATGCTTACTACTACTAGACTTGGTACTCACTAGCGAAAAAATGATTCCACCCTAAGGTTCAAAATGGGCCTTTTGAAATACCCTGGGGTGTCTACTTTAAAAAATGGTAGGCCTTTGTGGGGAAAGTTTGAATAAGCAACCTGCTATTAGAACCCAAAATGAGTCATAAACCTATAAAATTCTGTAAAAACTGAAATGGTCAGGTCTCCTATATGGCAGTGTAGCGTCAGGAAATACGACTAAAGGCATACATTGGGGGTATCGTTTTACTCACAGGAGATAGCTCAGCATAATTTAGGTTGTTTGATCATATTGGAACATATCAAATATACAAAATGCCCAGCACAAATGTAACGCATAAGTTAAAAATGCGAAAAATATTTTTTTACCACAAACTTTGACATATCATGGTGAAAAAATGGCGACATGTTAAGGCACAATATATGCCATATGAGATACTCTGGAGTGTCTACTTTCACAAATGGTAGGCCTTTTTGTGGTTTTTGAAACAGTCAAACTGCTATAATGGCCCAAATTGAAACATAAGCCCTGCAAATCCATCTCTCAAAATTCTACTCTAAACACTGAAATGGTCAGGTCTCCTTTATGGCACTGTAGCGTCACCAAATAGTGTCAAAGACATACATTGGGGGTATTGTTTTACTCAGAAGACTTAGCTGAGCATAATTAGGGGTGTTTGATCATAGTGGAACATATCACATATACAAAATGCCCAGCACAAATGTAATGCTTAAGGAAAAAATTTGAAAATATTTTTTTACCACAAACTTTGACATATAATGGTGAACAAATGGCGACATGTTAAGGCACAATATATGCCATATGAGATACCCTGGAGTGTCTACTTTCACTAATGGTAGGCCTTTTTGCGGTTTTTGAAACAGTCAAACTGCTATGATGGCCCAAACTGAAACAGAAGCCCTGCAAATCCATCTCTCAAAATTCTACTCTAAAAACTGAAATGGTCAGGTCTCCTTTATGGCACTGTAGCGACACCAAATAGTGTCAAAGACATACATTGGGGGTATTGTTTTACTCAGAAGACTTAGCTGAGCATAATTAGGGGTGTTTGATCATAGTGGAACATATCAAATATACAAAATGCCCAGCACAAATGTAATGCTTAAGGAAAAAATGCGAAAAATATTTTTTTACCACAAACTTTGACATATAATGGCGAAAAAATGGCGACATGTTAAGGCACAATATATGCCACATGAGATACCCTGGAGTGTCTACTTTTACAAATGGTTTTTTGTGGTTATTGAAACAGTCAAACTGCTATAATGGCCCAAACTGAAACATAAGCCCTGCAAATCCGTCTCTCAAAATTCTACTCTAAAAACTGAAATGGTCAGGTCTCCTTTATGGCACTGTAGCGTCACCAAATAGTGTCAAATACATACATTGGGGGTATTGTTCTACTCAGAAGACTTAGCTGAGCATAATTAGGGGTGTTTGATCATAGTGGAACATATCAAATATACAAAATGCCCAGCACAAATGTAATGCTTAAGGAAAAAATGCGGAAAATATTTTTTTAACACAAATTTTGACATATAATGGTGAATAAATGGTGACCCATTAAGGCAAAATATATGCCATATGAGATACCATGGAGTGTCTACTTTCACGAATGGAAGGCCTTTGTGTGGTCATTTGAACAACCAAACTACTATAATGCCCCAAAATAAGACATAGGTCCATTAAATCCATCTTTGAATTTTCTAACTGTAGAAACTGAAATAGTCTGGCCTCTTATATTTCATTGTAGCTTCCCAAAATAGTGGCAAAGCCATACAATGAGGGTATTGTTGTACTCAGCAGATGTTGCTGAACACAAAATGGGATTTTGACCAGGAATAGCACACAGCAGCTTTACAAAATACACATTTAAAAAACCTTGTGACATGTGTGTATTTCAAAAAACAGAAAAACAGAAATATGTAGCAGAGATTGGTGGGAAAAGGGCTATGTAAAAAGTGTCAAAATACCCTTAAATAAATAGCCTGTGATGTCTTCTTTATTTAAATACATACTTTTGTGTAGCAATTTTGTTTTCTGTGACAGCTGTGAAACTTACAAGTCAAACATACCAACTTCTAAAAATTTTTCACATTTACATTTTATATTACTCCTTGTATTTTGTGACCTGTAACTTTTAAAATAAGCTGAAATCCTTTACATATTATGCACTTTGAAAAACAAGAAACCTAAATGAATTTATTTTGAATTACTTTTCCTAAGCTGGACATATTATACACACACTATTATTGCCAAAACTGTGAAAAATATATATATATTTTCTTTTTTTTTTCTTTTTTTAATGTTTTTTAATAATAAATTAGATTTTATATATGTATAAGTCACATCAAAGTAAAGCCCATCTTGTCCTTTAAAAAACGATATATAATATGTGTTGAATCAATAAATGAGAGCGATGCAAATTGCAGTTGAACACAAACAGCAAAAAATGCAAAAATAGCTTGAGTCCTTAAGGGTATGTCCAGCTTCTGAAGCTGCGTCCTTAAGGGGATAACATAACACAAGAGACACTAACACAACAGAACAAGTGCATAACTTCACTATGCTGCCATCTACTGGAAGATGGACTGCATAAACCCCAATACATAACATTCTAGTTTTAGGTTTTACTTCAGAATAAGTTAATCATAAGTCATAATTATGCTTAGGACTGTTTATTTTTTCACAAGTGACAAATTAACTGAAATCAATACTTTACCTATAACTCCATAGTTAATAAAAAATCAACTACTCTGGAGGTGATGTGAACAGCTTTTGTCAGATTTTAATCATTCATAAAATAGTTAGCAATGGAATAGTACTGATAGATGAAATAAAGGTGTGGAATAAATTCAATAAAATGTATATTACAGAAAATTGCTTAAAACCTTTGGCAACCACAACCAAAAACAGGATAAACAGTACATGTATGTCTTGATTAACTCCTTTGAGGACAAAATGAGTAGAACTATAGCTTCTGTGTATTTGTTTTGTCAATCTTTATTTTAAGTTTGCATGCAAGTACATATTAGCGTGCAGCGACACAACAACATCTGCATGCTCTTCAGATTACGATATGGTGACATTGTCATGGTTGATGAACATTTGCGTATTTTGGTTTTAATTAAAAAGAGTGTAAACACAATGACTGAGTGAGGCACAGTTCAACAGACATTGCTGTGTTCAATCATGTGTGTGTGTGTGTGAGGGGTGCATTGTGTGTGTGAAGGGTGCTGTGTGTGTGAGGGATGCAGTGTGTGTGTATGAGGGGTGCTGTGTGTGTGGGCGGGAGCAGTGTGTTTCTGCGAGGTGTTCTGTGTGTGTGTGTGTAGTAGTGTGTGTGTGTGTGTGTGTGTGAGCGGTGCATGGTGTGTGTGATGGGGTGTAGTATTTGTGTGAGGTGGTGTAGTGTATTTGTATCTCACACACACATAACCCCTAACACAAACACACTACACCACCTCACACACTACATCCCCTTACAGAAACACACTGCATCCCCCACACACACAAAACCCCTCACACAAACACACCGCATCCTACACACACATAACCCCTCACACAGTGTGTTTGTGTGAGGGGTTCTATGTGCACGTGTGAGGGGTGCTGTGTGTTTGTGTGAGGATGCTGTATGTGTGTGAGGGTTGCTGCGTGTGTGCGAGGGGTGCTGCGTGTGTGCGAGGGGTGCTATGTGTTTGTGCGTATGAGGGGTGCTGTGTGTGGGGGGGTTGTAGTGTGTGTGTGAGTGGATCTGTTTGTGTGTGAGGGGTGCAGTATGTGTGTGAGGTGGTGTAGTGTGTGTCAGGGGTCTATATTGGGGTGAAGGGATCAGGGAGAAATCTATATTTTTTACTTAAAAAGAGAAAGAAAAAAAACTTTATGTACCCCCCTTCCCTCCCCTCCTTACCGCTGGCCTGGAAGGAGGGGACATATCACTGCAAGCCCTGGTGGTCCAGTAGTTTCTTCCCGCGAGCACAGCGCTGTTGGAGCGTTGCCATGGTAAGCGTGGCAACGCTCCAACCTGCATGATCGCGGGAGGATCCCGGGTCCTCCTCCTAACCGGCAGTCACCCGGGTCCTAGCTCCCTCCGTCTCTATTAACAAAATGCCAGGAGGGTGACAGCAGGGCCGGCTCTCCACAGGCCAGACAAAATTATTTTGCGGGCCTTATACGGCCCGTGGGCGGGGCGTTCCCCACCCCTGATTTAGTTAGTTAACTGTAACTGCATTATCTCTTAGAGAGTAGGCAAGCCTCATTTTAAGCAAAAGAAAATAGACAAAACGGGCTGAATAAATCACTCATTTAAACAGGATAAGATACAAGCTGTTAGCACTGTTGTCGGTTATGCAGGCTTGGATATATTAAACATTCGTCTGTACTATTAGGCCTGGAATGTAGGTTTGGGTTGTAGGGTTAATAGGTGAGTACAGCTCATATGCATATTAGCAGATGTTTAGCAGTATACTATGCAGGCATGGCTAATAGTGATGTCCCGAACGGTTCGCCGAACGGTTCGTCACGAACGGTTCGCCACGGACTCATCATTGAGTAAACTTTGACCCTGTACCTCACAGTCAGCAGACACATTCCAGCCAATCAGCAGCAGACCCTCCCTCCCAGACCCTCCCACCTCCTGGACAGCTCACTAAGAATGCAGCTTCACAATGAATGTAAAATGGATGCTCTCCAGGAGGTGGGAGGGTCTGGGAGGGAGGGTCTGCTGCTGATTAGCTGGAATGTGTCTGCTGACTGTGAGGTACAGGGTCAAAGTTTACTCAATGATGATTCTGTGGCGAACCCTCGTGTCATCAGTCAAACGATTTTCAGAAGGTTTTACTAAATCAGTTTCACATTGAGACATTACAGAAAGCGATTTTTGGAGGTCCTCCGGGCCAAGCAGTTCCATTGAGTCAGTACTTACAATAACCATGCGGAGCATTCGGCTGGGCAACCTGAGGAGGGGATAGGCTCTGTGTTGAACAGGTAAGTAACTCTACAGGTAGTCAGATTTCTTTATTATTCTAAATTATTACATAAATATATACGTAGAATTATTATTATATATATGTATATAATTTTTTAAAATTATTTTTATTTAGAACAAGTTAAAAAGATGAGAAGAAAAGATCTGATAAATCATAAAGGAACAAAATCAAAAAATACAAATAAAAATAATACAAATATACCCTTCATATGCAACCATAGTGGAAACAATGGAAAAATTAGGAAAATAATTAAAAAATATTGGCCAATTCTGCAAGAAGACCCTATCTTAAAACAAATAATACCACCAGAACCTAAAATAGTCTATAGGGACTGTAAAAATATGAAACAAATTTTAGTGAACAGCAGTTTTAAAACTAAACAGAAAGATCATTTTTTAAATAAAAGCAAAGGTTTTTATGGTTGCGGCTCTTGTTTAGCTTGTAGAACTACATGCCAGAAAAAAAGACATATTTTATCTTTTAACTATCAGAACGATAAAACATTTTATATTAGGGACCAATTAACCTGCTTTTCAAAAAATGTAATTTATATTTTAAAGTGCCCCTGTGATCTTATTTATGTAGGACGAACCACGAGATGTTTAAACATCAGAATTTCAGAACATGTTAGAAATATAAAGAAAGGAGTAGAAACACATAGTGTTTCTAATCACTTTAAAATACACCATAACAGTGATCCTAAAAACACATTTTTTTGTGCAGTTAAACTTGTACAAAAGGATTGGAGAGGAGGTGATTTTAATAAAAAGATAGGAGAAGAAGAAATGAAGTGTATTTATAATTTTAAAACTTTAATTCCCCATGGTCTAAACCAGGACTTCGAGCTGTGCCATTTTTTAGTATAATTATTTATGTAATATTAGGTTTCAGGATTTTTTTATTTTTTTTTATCCACACTTTTAGAGACCATTTTATCATATTTATATCTTATTTTAGATCAATACTGTTGGGCCATATCTATTTTTGATGTGATTTTATCTTATTTTATTTATTTATTTATTTATTTATTTTTTTGATGTGATCCTTTTCTCTTGTCTGCTTATTGATTGTTTCACATATGTTTCTACTTAATTATTTTGCGATATACATATTTACTGCCAAAGCACTTTATGACACTATTTGTAGCACTTTAAATGATACTGCTAATAACTTTGGGACTGATACATTTATTGTGTATAATACTGGAATGTATATTTTATTTTAACTTGATGTGATCTTATTCTTTCCTTTTTGCTTGCTTATTGATTGTTCCACATATGCTTAAACCCCATTTATTTTATACTATTGTGAAATACATGTTTTTTGCTTAAGCACTTTAATGATATTACTTGCAGCACTTTAAATAACATTGCTAACTATCTTGGGAACTGACACATGTATTATGTATAACATTGGAACGCATATGCGTTCCAAGGACGTTTTAATCAAGAGGATGCCTCTTTACACACAGTCCGACCAAACCGGAGATGACGTAATTCCTCCGGAATTAGGAAGAAGTCGATGCGTTTCATCAAACGCTTTGTATTTTCGGCGAAACCGGAAGTGACGGAGACATTCCGGAAACCGGAAGGAGGCGGTGGAACGCATAGATGCTTTCCACCGGAAGAAAATTACCCGCGATTTTTAAATATTTAAAGAACTTAGAGAACATTACCACCTTATGCCAACTGAGGAAGCCACATACCGGCGAAACGCGTTTTGGCAAGCTTACTGAACACTGGGAGGTCTTACCCTTATATTTATATTTTGGCAAGCTTACTGAACACTGGGAGGTCTTACCCTTATATTTATATTATTTATATTGATTTTATATATTTTTTTTTCAAATAAATATTTTTTCTCTGGAATATATTTTATCTCCATTGCCTGGTATTGAAAGAAAAAGAAAAAGAAGTTACACTTCAACAAGCACCATCAAAGAGGTTTGGGGATCACCCTATTAAGATCCCAGAGGAGATTCACACCAGAGCCAGGTTTTAATCTATGGCTCTTCCATTGTGAGTGCATAAGATTTGTTTTTTTTTATATATATTCTGTGTATAAGAAATATCTGCACTATCTTGTACCTCTCTATCTTTTACAGCAAGAAAGGTAGAAGAGAGGGAAGTACATTTTACTATTATTATCACTTGCTCCACCTATTTTTTGTGTATTATATATATATATATATATATATATATATATATATAGTGATATATACGTATATACTTATGTATATAGATATATATATTATTTCGTTCTACATGCATTTTAAAATCAATATATATATATATATATTGATTTTAAAATACAGTTAGAACGAATTTACACATATATATATTTTATTTATTGATTTTTTATTGTTTTAATTTAACTTTTTAACGTATTTAGATTTATTTATTTTATATTTTATATAAATATATATAATGAAAATTATATATATATTTAATCAATATCATTTTACGTGTCTTAATATTAAAATACACTTAGACAGTGTATGTGTATGTGTGTATATGTGTTTATATATACTTAGATCATATATATGATAAATATATATATAATCTAAGTATATATTATTTATTTTTACACTGATTTAACTTTTATTTTATTTATTTTCAGACAGCAGGGGGGAGTACCTGTCATTACAGGCACACCCCCTGCTGGCATTGCTATGCCGTCCATGTGATCGCGAGGTCCTCGCAAGTGCCTCGCGATCACATGGCCCAGGGGGGCTGAAGAGGACGGAGGGGGACTCCCTGGGCTCCCAGGTGAGTCCCCATAACGCTATCGCCGGCGATCCAGGTAAGTACAGAGGACGGTTTGGGCGTTCTTTGCCGCCCTGCGGCGTTTAGAGCCACTTCCTTAAGGATGGGATAGAACGCCCGCCGTCCTTAAGGGATTAAGGGCATGACATGTGTGACATGTCATGATTCCCTTTTATTCCAGAAGTTTGGTCCTTAAGGGGTTAAACATCTGTACAGACTCTGATAAAAGCACTTCTTCAGGCACATCATTCCACATCCTTATTGTTCTTACTGTAAACCCCCCCCCCCAAAAAAAAACCCTTTTCCTTTGCCTTAGACTAAATCTCCTTTCTTCCAGTCTAAACGCGTGACCTTGTGTCCCATGTGTAGTCCTGTTTATAAATAGATTTCCAGTCAATAGTTCGTAAGCACACCAAATAAATTTGTATTGACGCTATCAGATCCCCTCAGAGGTGCCATTTTGTTTTTAAACTAAACAGATTTGAAAGTGTTAACCTTTATTATTCGTAATAAAATCTTCCATTCATTTTTTTTTAAATTTTTTTTTAATCAGTTTTGTAGTCCTCATCACAGTCACTTCCAGATCTGAGAGTGATCTACCTGCTGGTGATGTTTGGTTACGCATCAGCTTTAGAAATGTTAAATGTAATTTTTAATGTACTATCTATAAAATGAATTAAAATGGGTATTACTTCCAGCCCTGGCATAATGTGCTTATCTGTTATCTGTAAATTAGAAATACTGCAGCCTGCCTTTAACTACAATCAGTTTCCTTATTATTGAAACACATACAAAAAAAGAAATACAAAAAAAAAAATAATAATAAAAAAAAATAATAATAATAATATTACACTAGTGATGAACAACCTTTCTCACTACATCATAGCTTCTTGTCTAGAGTTAGCATGAGCGTGACGTCATGTGCGCGGCGACACGTTACCACACGTCGCGCTATGATTACATCACGCGTTCGTTGCGATTCGGCGCATGCGCGAGTTTCAAGACACTACCGGTTTGCAGACACGCCCACAGTGTAGGGTGGGAATCCAGTATGGCGGCGCCCGTGGTCAGGAGTCTGGAGCCTGTGCAAATGAGGTGACTGCGCAAATTTAGTAGATTTCCTGATATTTGCTAAGCTACATTGTGTACAACTGAACCAATGCTGTTACAGCAGTGAATTTTGTCAAAACTTTAAAAAAAAAAATATATTTTTTTTTTAATGGGTATTATAGCTCATTGCTGGATTATTATCACCAGTTATACACAGCTGCTTAGGAATTGAATGTGATGGCTGTGAATACTCATTCATTTATTTATTTAAAAAAAAAAAACATTTTTTGACATGAATTCAATGGTTGGTTAAGCACATTGCATGTCTACATAGTTTGTCCTTAGATGTACACAATCTATCTGTAGCAGTCTTGTGCTGCTAATATGATGGTATTCAAATGTTTAACATCTTCTTTGGCAAGTTTGGTTTGTGGGGAATTCAGTCTTGGATATGACATTAAAAGAACTGTCTCTAATGTTAGCAATATAAACGTATATCCCATCCTAAGATTAGTGGTGTGCTAGCTTGTTGGAGTATTGGACCCCCAATTCCTTGGACGCACTGATGATCATCATTCTGATGAACTCAGCCAATCCATTTTATCACAGTGATTGCTCTCATTCTGAGTATGAAGATGGCAAACCTCTGTCCTGTAAAGAATGCAGGACCGCACCAGGAATCCCCTTGAGTGTCTGTCTAAATGACAGCCAACAGAGGTGGCCTTATAAAGCAAAGCAAACACTAGCAGTGTCTAGACCACAGGAACAGTCACTTTGACCCTGAACCTCTACATTAAGCTGGAATTGTTTTGGTGCTTAGGGTGTCCCTTTACATTAGATGTGTAGTTTATACCAAACAAAAAAAATAATTTGCAAACAGATAATAAATATAAAAACAATTAAAAATTAATGATTATACTTGTATTCAACTATTGTTGTTTTTTCAATGTAATTTCTTGGACTACACCTTTGGGGTCTGAGTGGATTGTGTGCCATCTAAAAGGATAACTAATAGTCTCTCCCCCGTGCTTTCCTTTTTGCAGTTTCTTGTCATTCCACATGCATAATGCTTTTCACTTTGCCCCTCAGACTATTTTCAAATACCATCAGATGTGTCATGTAATTTTGACAACACTGTCAATTCTATAAGCATGTGTCTATATGTACAATCAGACTAACATGGATGTGCATTGTAGTGGGTTATATATGTATATTACTGTTTTTTTTTAGTTGAGACATATTTCATATATACAAATGATACGTATGATAAAAAATTAGTGTCGGCTCATAGTAAATAGGAAAAAATAAATCGTGTTATGCTAACGTAAAACAGTATGTCAAAAAAGAAATAGCAGAATTTACTCACAAATATAGTGTCCCTCAGACTGGGCTCTCAGTAATCACATCAGTGGCTCATTAACCCCTTAAGGACCAAACTTCTGGAATAAAAGGGGTCATGACATGTCATGTGTCCTTAATGGGTTATAGGATACTCTTTTGTCTACGTGGGGAATCATCCTTAAGATGGATTTAATAAGACCATAAGGAAAATAAAGATACAATAGTGTGGACTGTATGACAAAGCTGCTGCAATAAAAGTTGTAGTGCAATTTGAATCGGAGCCTAAAGGTTGTTGGTGTCAGGCACAACCTTAAAAAACCTGCAGGACAGGGAAACACATTCATATAGAAAATATTAAACTTCAGTTGGTAATAAATAGCAAAGTAATTATAAATTACATTTTCTTCCTTCTTCTAGTGTAGACTTATTTTCTGTTTATGAATTTTAAAAAATAGAATTTGTAGTAAAACACCCACTTTAACAAATGTATTTATGTTGTTGTGCTGATTTCACTCTGTGGTAAAGCCAAGTGCCATTAGTCTTGGACCATATTTAGGTTTATGTGAATGTCTCAGTGATATTTTTTCTCTCTCTTCAAAGTATTACATTTTTCATTTCTCTAACATGCTAAATGAAATGTGCCAATTATGTCCTTCTTTTGTACATATAGTGAAAATTCTTAGGCATATTTTATTTAGTTTATTTTCATATCTGATTTCATAATTTTACGTCTGAATTCAGGTTACACTCAACTTATGCATCATATGTAAAATGTGCTATGCTGCATTATTTCTCTTAAATAATTATTCTTGTCATCGTGATGTGTTTTATTTATTTTTAAATTACAGTCATAAGAAAAAACGAGCTTATTTGAAGAAAGAAAAACGAAGAAAAAAGAGGCAGGCTCTTGCAAAATTAAGAGATTTAGGTAAAATGGTTTATCTTTTTTAATTATTATTTTAAAATATAAATTCACTTCTCTGTTTTGTATGGTTAAGGACCAACTGATGTCACTCACCTCTACAATTTCTAAGATGCACATTTGCATTGTTACTGAGATCTTAATGGTGTTTTCTGTTTTCCTGTTGGTTCTTTATTTTGTAAAGATATATCTAATTAGAACCATAATGTGTAGCTATTGGGTGTGCATAAATATACACATTTTGAAGTGTGCATCTGTCATGGCAGATTCCACTTTACAGAGCATAAAACATGCAGGTCATAAGCAGCTGTATGTACTGCTAACCTGCCTTTAAGTGACACGACTTCAGGCAACTCATAATGACCAATTCCTAACTCCTTTTTGAGTGAGTAGCAAGCAGTCTTTGAAGGAACACTATAGGTCAGGAACACAAACATGTATTCTTGACCCTATAGTGCAAAACCCACCATTAAGGTGGCTTGCCCCCCTTAAAAGCATATAAACCTCACCTTATTTCCAGCGCCCTGCCGGCACTGGCCTCGCCCCCTTGGTGACATCATCAGAATAGCAGATTTTTAGCCAATCCAATACTTTCCCATGGGGAAAGCATTGGATTGGCTAAAATTGGCAATGGGCGGGGCTAAACACTGTTTTGGCCAATCAGCACCTCCTTATAGAAATGCATTGAATCAATGCATCTCTATGAGGAAAATTTTGCGTCCCCATGCAGAGCGTGGGGAGGCTGAACGGCAGAGCTGCCTACTGTGCAGCACTGAGCCAGGAAGCACCTCCAGTGGCAATCTGATGAGTGGCCTCTTGGATGTGTCCCTAGAGCAATGTATTGTTTGCATGAAAATGCCTGAAGGCAATGATTGTACTCACCAGAACTACTACATTAAGCTGTAGTTGTTCTGGTGACTATAGTGTCCCTTTAAAGAACACTCTGGCCATCTTAACCACTATAGCTTATTGTTAAGAATCAAGGAGTATTTGGGTGCCATCCTCCTGTTTTGTCAAACTTTTTTCTAGTGGTTTGACAAAAGTTCTCTAATCTCAAAGCCAGGCTTTTCTGCTTGTCATGTGTCACCTTTGTACCAGAAAACCATCCAAACATGAATTAAAAATTGAAGACTATCCCATAATCCTCTACAACATGAATCTCTAGAGCATGGGCTTTTTGCCAATCTACTGCCTTTAATATTCAAATACTGATTTAAGAATACATTTTACATAATGGTTCAGAATATAAAATAGTTAAAGGTGTCAAAAGAATCAGCCTGTTTATTGTAACAAGTGGTCTGATGGCATGATGGCACTCTCCTTCCTCCAAACAGTAAAAGAAGCTTCAAAGGTCATTCTCTTTATAAACGTCACTAGACTTGTACACAAATCCTGTTCACCTGTGCTGAATGAATCAGATACCTGATAATAGCTGAATTAATTGATTAGTTTGTCCAGCGATTAATAGGTGTGGCAGTCACTCCGAGAGAGCAGGGGTATCCACCACCAGAGATGTCCATTTCCCCTAGTGTGGGTAGTGCTGTAGTATTCCCAAGTCGATCTCCAAGCAGGCAATGGAACCAGTATAGCTGTACAGCTCTTATAAAAGCTAGTGGTTATAGCCGGTCTAGCTGTTTCCTACAATCACAAGACGAGGCTGCATGTTGAGGGTGAAGTGAACTGATTTTAATGGGACCACACTTGGCTTTTTATAACAATCCCCATGCAAGGGGTACTCCCACCTGGACCTGATGGAAGACTGTAGGTCAAACTTACAGACCAATGACAACGTTGTTAAAATACATGACAATTCCATACATCTTATACAATCCCTCCCCTCTGTCTGGGAGATAATCGAGTCAAGTACTGTACTAACTCAATTATATCCAGGCAAAAAAAGAACACAATTTTACAGGCAACCCAAAAACTCACATAAACCCCACAAAAAAGTATATCCCTTGACAGCCCCGATCTGGGTGAGCAACATATCCAATCGGTTCAGGATTTTCATGGAAGTCTTATTTCTGACCGGTCGCACACGAGGCTCCTGCCAAAAGTATTTCCATGGATTCAGGCTGTGCAGTCGGTCTCTTTCGGGAGCTTCAAACACAACAAAATACCGAAAGTAGCAGTTCGTTGGAAAACTAATCATGTGCCCCTCGTTCGGGAGTTTTGTTACACCGAACGTCGTTCCAGAGACTCGAAATGAACGTACTTGTGGCTGGAAGTCCCAGCGGTGTTCGTGTCGTTGAGTGGCCGATTTTAGTTTCAAGCATTTGACGACCAAACACCGCTGAAGGTGTTCGCGGAGTTAAGGTGGCTGCCACCTCGTGTTCGGCCATACGAACGCCGGCCACCCAGCTGTCCCCTTAGTATGTTATTGATTTTGTGGTTTTCGAAAGTGTGAAAGAGGTCAACCAGGTTAATGAGGGGCACACGAATGCACTGGGTGGTCGATCCATTCGGCGAATTGTTCGGTTCACGAATTAAGTTTTCCATTTTGTTCAGTGGGGTTCAGATCAATTAAATAACAGTGATTCAGGGACAGGAAATCTGTCACAATAGGCTGGACAGGATTTGTACACAGTTTTAAAAATGCCATATTGAAGGCAAATAAAGTTTTGATTCTTCTTCTCAATAAGCTTTTACAATACAATATGCAAGCTATTTTTTACCTTGCAGAAGAAAACAAAGAGGACAACATTTCTGAAGATGAACTGGAAGATGAAAATGTTAATGAAATTGAAAGGTAATTATTTATTATTATTAGCAAACTTCAGTTTGCATCTTTTCTCTCAGTATATGGGGAATACAGCTGGGTTGTTCATAATGGAATTTATTTTTAACTTTCAAGCTATTTTTCCCCTGTGGTACATACCGTATTTTTCGCTCCATAAGACGCACTTTTTTTCCCCTCAAAAGTGAGGGGAAATGTCTGTGCGTCTTATGGAGCGAATGTGAAGATTTACTTACCTGTCTTGGAGCGTGGGCCGGCTTCACAGCGCGCTCCGCGGTCCAGGAACTTCTATTTCAGGTTCCGGTTTCCGGCGGGACTGAAAGGAAGTGTGCACACTTCCTTTCAGTCCCGCCGGAAACCGGAACCTGAAATATTAGTTCCTGGACCGCGGAGCGCGCTGTGAAGCCGGCCCACGCTCCAAGACAGGTAAGTAATTATGGGACAAGGGGAGGGGGAGACACTATGGGACAAGGGGAGGGGAGGAGACACTATGGGACAAGGGAGGGGGACACTATGGGAGACAAGGGAGGGGAGGAGACACTATGGGACAAGGGGAGGGGGACACTATGGGAGAAAGGGAGGGGAGACACTATGGGACAAGGGGAGGGGGGGAGACACTATGGGACAAGGGGAGGGGGGGACACTATGGGATGGGACAATGGGAGGGGGGGACACTATGGGATCAGAACACTAATGGACAAGGGGAGGAGGGGTTAAAGAACACTATGGGACAGGGTAGGAGGGGTTAACAATCACTATGGGACAGGGTAGGAGGGGTTAACAATCACTATGGGACAGAGGAAAGGGGGGTTAAAGATCATTATGGGACAGGGGAGAAAAAAAAATATTCTGAACAAACTGTCCCATGGTAAGAAACACTATGGAACAGTTTGTTCAGAATATTTTTTTTTCTGGGTTTCCTCCTCTAAAAACTAGGTGCGTCTTATGGTGAGGTGCGTCTTATGGAGCGAAAAATACGGTATTTGTTTTATAACCGTAAAGCAAAACTGTAGGCATCATAACCACTGTATTGAGATTACATGATCCTGGTTCCAGGAGTCCCCTGGTGCTGTCTTACCTTAAGGTGCTAAACAGTTTTCAAGTAGTTTAATACTGCAGATGTATCCCCAGTTGTCTGTCTACTAGCCCTCTCCCTGTGCTTAAGATAATGGAAACTGCCTAAAGCTTTTCATTCCCACAATAGCTCCATCGCTTTCTGTTGGTTTTTTGTTTTTGTTTTTTTTAATAACCTTTTACTCAAGATGGACAGTCATTGATTGGTCTTTGATTGTCCCTCCATTGCTTGAGATAATTCTTTAACATTTGCCCGAGCACTTAAAGAAGGACAGCGGGCGGGAGCGTGGGACACTTCGGTGTTAAACCGCGTGAAAACAGTTTACCTGATGGTAACATGCTGCCAGGGCACTCCAGATAAAGTGGTTATGGGGCCCAGAATGTTCTTTAAATAACCTTTTTTTATGAATGTGCAGACATATTTAAACATCTTCACAAGAAGGGGTTAGGTTAATCCTTCTATAGCTGAACTGTTTAACAATGTATGTCAATGTATGTATTTGTTTGCCTTATTTTGTGTGATAAGAAGAAATGTGAAAAGGAAAGTTATTATGTATACATAATATTTCATTTTTCCAACAGACAAAAACTTCATGAAGAATGGCTGCTTCGGGAGCAGAAAGCTCAGGAAGAATTCCTTCTGAAAAAGGAGAGGGAGGAAGCTGTGAGAAAACGTGAAGAGGACGAGGTATGGCATGGTACACAACTTGTCCCTGTGTCAACAATATGAAGTATAACTACGATTTCTAAGATACACATTTGCATTGTTATTTAGACCCTACTGGTAGTTTCTGTGGTCCTGTTGGTTCTTAATTTTGTAAAGATGTGTGTGTGTATGTATATATATATCAATATATATTTTGCTCTATTGGATCACAATAATTTTAGTGTTCTGTTTAATTTATTTTTTGCTTTTTTTTCCTACTCTGTAGAGAAAGTTAATAGAAGAATGGCGAAAACAGGAAGAAGAAAAAGAGAAAAATGAAAACCAGGAGCAACAACAGAAGAAGAAAGACAGAGAGGTGATTCCTGCTCTTGGAGGATAAACTCATTCATATCCTATTTCAGTTTTGCTGTCATAGTACTGGTTAGATAATTTGTCAGTCTATATTAAAAGCCATAGGAAGGTTTATATATATATATATATATATATATATATATATATAATATATATATATATATATATATATATATATATGTGTGTGTAATATATATATATATATATATAATGATTTATCAAAAAGCACACATTACTTAAACAAGTAATGCACAGAATTTGATATAGGATTTATATATATATATTAAGGACTCTTGTTCTCAGTGAAGTCCAGCACAAATCCTATGAAAGGTCAGGGGCTGTTATTGCTCCCTCCTTGGTTCTGTTGAGTTAATTTTATTTATTTATAAAATATTTTACCAGGATGGATACATTGAGCTTTCTCTCGTTTTTCAAGTATGTCCTGGGTCCACGAAATATTGCATTGATATGATAGGTTACAAAAAAAAACACAAAACCAATACTGCAGCACTCATATACGTGTCTTACATGACACAAAAGAGAATACTCTTATAACTGCTGACACACAGTGCTGATAGATATGCTTTATTGCGACCCAGATTCCCATAGTTACCTACGCCACTTAACGGGACAGGTGGCTTACAAGCACAAACACTGTATCGTTGCTACATTACCACTTATGTGTTGAACCAAAGCATCATTATTTATAGCCCTAGAATTCACCACTGTTAAAAGCGGCCAACTCGTTATAACTACCCAGCCCATTATAAATAAAAAATGTGCAATGTTTGTTTCAGCCTAGTCTCTAGATTGACATGTTCATTGTTATGTCTCATACATATGCTGTTGTGGCGTATCCAAATGTGTCTGTGCCACTGCTATTGCACTGAAAATAAAGAATACAAAAAAATACAAAAACAATATTCATACACAATATATACAAAATTTAACATAGTAGGAAATATATAATCAACCATGACAGGTGCATTCTGTTTTGAGGTATGTAGAGATGGATCTCTTAAATGACTTTAAGCTAGGGAAGGTGAGCGGGAGGTCGTTCCATAAATGCGGTGCTTTGTAGGAAAAGGAGGGTCGGGCTGCTTTCTTTTTGTATTGAGGTAGACTGAATAAAGTGCTGGAGCTTATAGGAAGTGGGAACAGCCAAGGAGGGCATTCTGCTCAGGTAGGATGGGAGCTTCCCAGAAAAGCTCTTAAACACAAGGCTGGAAAGATGAAGGGTGCGTCTGGATTCCATCGACAACCAATTTAGTTATTTTAGCAAATCACAATGGTGTGTCCTGTAATTACATTGTAACACAAATTGGCAGAATGAGTTATACAATGTATTGAGTTTATTAATGTGGATTTGCGGTGCAGGTGCATATACTACATCCCCATAATCAATGATTGGCATCAGCATTTGCTATACAATCTTTTTCTTTACTTCTAGGGCTTAGGCAGGATTTGTTTCTTTCCTGTGGTCGCTGCTACCACCCAGGAGTGAATGGAGTGAGCGCAGGACTTATCTTTTTGTATTTGTATTCACTTTTGGTATCACACAGCTTTGTTACAATGCTGCCACCCATCCCATGTGTTCCATATTAAGGGTTAATAAGTATATAGGGGTGTATATAAAAAATACTCCTCTCTGTCTCATTAGAGATATCTTTGCCAGAAGCTGAAGGAAGCAAGGGGGGGGTCTGCCTTAAAGTTAGCAGACGGGCATTCCTTCCAATGGCCATTGGAGTAACTAAATGACCTCCATTTGTTTAAATATACATGGGGATTTAGGAGAGAGCGCAGGTAACTTTTTTTTTCTTTGGTTTTTACTATATGTGTTGGGGCTGATGTGTACTGTGGTCATTGCTGCCGCCCATGAGTGATGGGAGTAAGCGCAGGTATTGTATTACGATTTGTTTCTGTACAGGGCACCTAGTGCGGTAGATTAGATTTGCTTGCATAGATTACTGTCGTCTGCGTTAATTTGAGGATTTGCAGATCATTTATAAATAATGTGAGTAGTAGGGGGCCAAGAACGGAACCTTGGGGAACACCACATGTGACTAGGAGAGTGAGGGAGTCACTGTCAGAAATGGACACATATTGCGTGTGATCCGATACATATGATCGAAACCAGGTTAGCGAACAATCACCAATACCTGAGTTTTTGAGTTTGTGCAGTAGAATGTCGTGGTCTACTGTGTCAAAGGCCTTTGCAAAATCAAGGAAAATAGCTCCAGTTAGGTCTCCTTGTTCCATGCCAGTTTGGATGAATGTGAGCCAAGTGAACTGCACATATGCATATTTTTTTTTTTTGTTCACCTATAGCAATTGCTGAGTGGCTTTATGCCATCCAAGATCCATAATGTGTGCATTATTGAAGCTTCAAATAAATCTTTATAAGTTTTTTTAAGCAATTCCAATTGATTGGCCTTTCAGTTTAACAGTGATTAATGGTTTGTTTTATTCTTGGAAATCTAGAATGTACAGTGTGCATGCGGGGTTTATAATTGAAATCAATATTCTTGATGAATTGGTTCTATTTATTCACTTACTTAAATATGGATAAATCTATGCAGTGTATCCTTCAGAGATTTTATTTGTTCTGTTATGTGATTAGGTCTGATTTTAGCACACCAGTTTGCATAAAAATAATTACAAAACTAGCATATTCAGATCCACTCTTTGTCTGGGAGGCCTATTAAAATGTAAAATTTTCTTGTGCGAAAAGTGGAACGTTTTCTTTATTAATTAATATTATATTTTCCAGTATTTAAAAATAAAGGGAAATTCTATGTCACGGCTCAAGATTTGAAATCCTATGATATTAGTGAGGCCTTAAGTTACTCACAAGGGCTAAATATTCAGTCATCTAGAGTAAGTAGAAAATTAGATTCTTGCTCTAAGTACCATAACCACTACAGAGCATTTGTTATCTGACTGCTTTGACCCAGTGAATAATGTCCAATGTTATGAATTTATGCTTTAGCATATGACTGCAGACTGGTAAGCCCAACTATAGCAGGGGTGGAGATTTTTCCAAAACATCTCTTTTACGCTCAATGTCGGCACTTGAATTTAATTCAGTAATTTAAATATATCGTTTTCCTTTTTGGTTGTTTAACACACAATTTAATTGTGGTTTTCATGTATCTAATGGATTTCTTTAGGCAGTGTAGTTGTATGTATGTTTTATAGCTGTTCGTTCAAACTCCATTCCTTAACAGATTTCAATTACAAAGGTGATACTGCTCAGTCCTGATTATTTTCGAGATGTATCTTTTTTTTAATCTTGATGTTATACATTCTTAAAATGCATCTTCTCTTTTAATTGTAACTTAGTGGCTCAAAATAACTGTAGAATGACACAATTTGATTAACCATTTACAGGGATAACTTTCTTCTTTTAACTATCTTTTTAAATAAGGGTGTGTAGAAGGGACACATAGCCTTTATAATAATTTTGTTGTGTCAGCCTATTGTCTGGTGTGTCTGCTATGGGTGACTATTGTCTGGGCAAAGATGAAAAAAAAAAATATATACCAAGCAGGGTAGAAAAATATAAATGAACTTGTTAAGAAATATCAATATCTGGAATGCACTGCGCTATTGTGTAGCTCAAAAAAAAAAAATACTTCCAGAAAAGTAATCCGTAAAATATACAGAACTAGATAAGGGGGGAGCAGTACAGAATACTATGTAAAATAATACTATAGTAGAAGATACATTTATTACATTAAAAAAGATATGTAAACAGTAGCAAATAAATTACCAAAAATATCAAGTATAAGAAACAAACGAGTGCAGATAAAGTAATTTAACATAATGAGATTGATAGAATATTTTTAAAGTGTCCTCACACAATAGAAACATAGAATATGACGGCAAATAAGAACCATTCGGCCCATCTAGTCTGCCCAATTTTCTAAATACTTTCATTAGTCCCTGGCCTTATCTTATAGCTAGGATAGCCTTATGCCTATCCCAGTCATGCTTAAACTTCTTCACTGTATAATCCTCTACCACTTCAGCTGGAAGACTATTCCATGCATCCACTACCCTCTCAGTAAAGTAATACTTCCTGATATTATTTTTAAACATTTGCCCTTCTAATTTAAGACTATGTCCTCTTGTTGTGGTAGTTTTTCTTCTTTTAAATATAGTCTCCTCCTTTACTGTGTTGATTCCCTTTATATATTTAAATGTTTCTATCATATCCCCCCTGTCTCGTCTATCCTCCAAGCTATATATAGTCTGGCTCATCTGTCCCCAATATAAATAATATTCAATTTTTGTAATTTTTTTTGTTTGTGGAAAGTGATGCCCTTAAAGTATATTCCTTTTAAGAATATTCTATCAATTTCTTGTTAATTACTTTGTTTCATTTCTTTCTCAGACTTGATATATTTTGTTAATTTATCTGCTACTGTTTGTGTATCTTTTTATGTAATAAATGTATCTTCAATAGTATTACTTGACATAGTATTCTGTGCTGTCTTTTCTAGTTCTGTATATTTTCCTGATTACTATTGCCTGGGCAAGTCACAGAACATAACATTCTAGAAAATCAATCTTATTAATTTATATTTAAATGCACTTAACGTTCTTAACCCCAGAATCAGATACTGTGCAGCATGGAGGTTCTTACTAGCCCTATGTTTACACCATTTCTAGGAGGCTGTACAGAAGATGCTGGATGAAGCAGAAAACCAGGTAAGGTCTAAAGATTTCTTATTCTAAGAAAGTGCTTTAGCTGCAGAACAATGTATGTAGGCATGACCGTAGAAATTGTTCTAGTAGGCTGAAAAGAATGGGGAAGTCACCCCCCTCCCTCCCGCAGCCATGTTGGCCTACCTCCACTTTTATAAGGTGTGATCATTTGAAGCAACCCTGTTATTTTTATTGATTTACTTATTTTTCTTCCCTCACCCCCCCCCCTATTCCTTTATGATTATACTCCCTTGCCACTTGCCTTTATATGTGTTTATTATCTTTTTTCCACATCACAATAACTGGGCATAGCCATTTTGTTCTCTGCCTATGATATTTGTCCTTCTGGGGGACTGATGTTACGGAGGATAGTGTGTGAATTTTTGCTATACTTAAGGAAATGTAATCCCTACTTTTCTTTATGTATTTTAAAGAGATTCAGACACAGGGATCTATATAGAAGCAGATTATATGAAGCCTATTTTTGGTGGAATTTCTTGTTCCTTTTTGAATAGCTGACTGACTACATTCTACTTTCATGTTGTCATTCAAGCTAAATGTTTGGTGATTTACCAGTCTTATAATGTTTTATCTGGGCTGTCTGATCTATGTATACCTATTCATGTTTTAGCATACTTTTTTTTAATCCCTGTCTTTCCTTCCTATTTCTTTCACAAATCCTACTCCATCCCCTCTATAATATCATTCTATGTGTAATTTGATATTAATATATAAAATATTTTTTTCTAGCACTTGTAGAGCTTTTTTTCACTGCAATCTCTGAGTAGAATGGCATCTGAATGTATAACGGCTTTTTATGTGTATACTGCAAATAGCAACTGGTTTCATGGTAGAGTATCTGTTTAGCTCTTGTTCTGTATAGAATGGTAAAGAAAAGCAACTCAAATTACCAATGGCTTTGATCCATACTTTTTCAAGCGGCTTGAATAAAATCTATACTTAAATACCAAGCATGTTAAAGTAATGGTTATTGTTTATGATGGATGTAATCTACAAGGATGTTATAGAAGAGCTACATTTAAAGGAACCTTCCAAGCCAAACTGTAGTAGTGATGGTGCCAGGAGTTCCCAAAATAAGTAATACAACCATTTTAAAACCGTTTGACAACTTACCTGGGTGTTGCTGCCACACCACCTCCGCTGTAAGGACTTTAGAAAGTAATTAACCTATGAAATAGGATAAGCATAATGGCTCGTTTATTAGTTTAGACATATAATCTGTAATTGTGGTGTTTGTCAACAAAATCTGACTTGAATGGTATTCACATTGAGATGCTTATTTTCTGAATAGCTGGAGAATGGCGATACTTTTCATAACCCAGAAACCCCGAAAGGATATGGCACAGAAAGGGATAGAGCAAATTGTCCATTCTATCTAAAAACTGGAGCTTGCAAGTTTGGGGAAAGGTAAAAATCTACTTTTTTTTTATATTTTTTTGTTTATTCCATGGATATATAGCTCAGATTACTTCCTTTCAAAGACATGAGGTCACAGGTGAATTTGATCTTTGAGAAATATACATGCACATGTATATGTTCCATTTTAGAAAAAAACAAAAACATATGTATATATATATATATATATATATATATATATATAAGCTATAGCTATAGCTATCATATGAGACATGACTTGGTAACAATGTGAGCAAAAGGTGTCATATTTCTTATAACACAGTGATTCTTTAAGAATATTAATTAAAATATAATCCCCACTGTATAGCACCCTTCACTCCAGTCCTAAATGGAAGGTGGTCAGGCGTTACCAAATTTGCATTTGATCAATTTTCCATTTAATGCCCTAGTTGTTACTTTATATCTCTATGCAACTAACTAGTTGTGTAAGCGGAATCTTTAATGCATCGATATGCACTTTAACACTTGCACCGTTCAATTAAAAAACAAATATATATATATTTTTTTTACTTTAGGTTTCTTTTCTTTGATGTAACAAATTGTATCAAAACTTCAGATATAATTGTTCATTCTTTTATCTTTTTTCTTTCCATGTTACACAGGTGTTCTCGCCGGCACAACTATCCATCTTGTAGCCAAACACTCCTTATACGTGGTATGTTTATAACATATGGTATGGAGCAGTGCAGACGGGATGATTATGACACAGATGCCGGTCTCGAATATGGTGAAGAAGAGATATACCAGCACTTTTTAGATTTCTACGCTGATGCGGTTCCTGAATTTAAAAGCGTTGGCAAACTGGTTCAGTTCAAGGTAAGTCAGCTTGGAACAGAAAGTAACAGTTCATGCGTCTTGAGTAATGAGTGCCACATCATGATTTGCATAATCACTTTATAAACTGGAACTAATACATTTGTTCTCTAACAGAAGATTGCTATAATACACTACAACAATGATGACTTAATATATTTATCCCAGAGAATAACCATACTCTAATATGCTAAAGTTTGAGCACCTCTAAAGGAAAAGAAGGTAGCACAGTATCTTCACTGTACAAAGAAACTCTGCATGTTTCTGTAAATTTTAGTGCGTATTCTATTTTCTGAAATTAACTGATTGCAATATAAAATGCAAATGTGTCATTTTCAGAAATATGGGCACCATTTTATTCAGTACTTGTTCACGGCCTTTAAACTCTAGGAAGCCAACACTCTTTCTGTTCTTGTTTAAGGAATTGTTTTCCACACTTCCGTACATTCGGTTGCTGTATCTGCACTATATGTTTTTTCGATCAACCCAGAGATTTTCAGTAATTTTCCAAGTAGAATCATTGTTTTGTCATAATTTTTACCATCTTTTCAGCTTCAGTTTTTCACTCACATTGAGTCACTTGTGTCTAGAACGGGAGTAGGCAACCTTTGGTAATCCAGATGTTTAAAACGATAAATCCCCTGATGCTTTGCCAACATTATGGCTGTAAGCGTGTTATGGGAGATGTAGTGCACAACACATGCCAAAGATTTGCCTACTCCTAGGGTATGTTGTTGTTGTTGTATTTTTTTTTTTTTTAGCAGAATCAATTCTTCTCTCTGCCCTTACTGAATTTCCCGTGCCACTGGCAGCCACCCAACTCTAAAACATAATAGTTCCACCTTCATACTTAGCAGTTGAAAAGTTGTTCTATTCTTCAAATGTTTCTAGTTTTTATTTTTATCCAAACTTACCTTTGGTGATTGTAGCTAGAAAGCTTGATGCACAATTCCGCTTCTGTTTTTAAAACAAACTTCTGAAATAAAAGGAAATCATGACATGTCACACAAGTCATGTGTCCTTAAGGGGTTAAATAGTATTTTGGACAGTGGAGCTTTCAAGCAGGAATTGAATTGTCTTTTTTTTTTTTTTTTACAATCTTCCTCTGCTTTAAAATAGTAAATTTTATATTTTTTGACCCTTAGCCAGCTGCTTAGCATAGCCCATTGTAGTTTTAGGATATGTACAACACCATGAGTGCTTTCAAGTCCAGGCCAGAGGATTTGTTAAGTTCTGGAACTGTCACCACAAGACTTTAATCAAGGCTTAATGAGTCAGTTTAGCCAATTAGGATTCTGAGTCTGTTATAAAGAAAGCCACTAATGGATCAATTTTACATGCCACATTTACTTTTTTTCAGTGTTAAATTCAACAAATAGTAAATGGGCACAAACTTTTTCAAACATTAGTTGAACTTGTTCACAATTGTTACAACTTATTTTAACATAGAAAATAAAAAAAAATGCTGCGTAGAACACCTGTAGAATAGTGTTATTTCAAGAAATTTACAAAATATGTACCCATTGTTGCATATGCGATTTGTTATGAGCAAATGTGGTGCATTAAGTTTAACGTTGCGTTTGTTTTGTTAACTAGTTTGCTAACTCTTTGGAAGCCTTATAACACCACACAGTAATTCTAACTAATATAATGTTCAAACCAGTGTAGGACAATATTACATCTTTTATCAACCAAATTGTGAGGTTTTGTTTCTTTCAAACAAGATTTCTGTTTCAGTCCTTCTTTCTATATAATTTTAAAAAGACTCCAAGCTCCATAACTCCTACAGTCTTCTGTAGTGCTATATGATGCCATCAGCACCCTGGTGCCATCCCAGTGTACGGAGCTGGACTAGCTCAATGCAGGGAGCTTGCAGGCTGCAGAGAAGCAATGACCGGCAGACCCCAGAAAAAAATATCCTAAATGTTTTGACTACATACACTTGAATGGCACCAGGGCACTCTTGGCACCTTAAAAACTACAGGAGGCTGTACTGGTTATAGTGATTGGGCTGTTTCTTCAAATAAAACTTTTCCTTTCTTGTTTGTTTCCTTGTGAATGTTAAATGTCCTCAGGCTAGTTAAAGGGACATCCTAAGCTGGAGTGGTCCCTCGTCAATTTTAATGCATCACATAGTTAGTTAATTAAAAACTATAATCAAAAATTTAAAACCGATACATTTGCCTATAGTATATCCTTTAAATTCTTGCTGTGGTTCACCAATGGGCACAGGCTGCCTTATTCAGGTAAGATGTATGAATCAGACTGCTTCATTTGCTGGCTTTGTATGCCATACATTATACACTTGTGTAGTGTTAAGCTGCCTTACTGGGAACGTCATGTAAGTAACTTGACTGCCAGGGGGAAACAAGCGTTTAAGTTTTTTTGTTTTTTGTTTTTGTACATCACTGCAGATATAAGACCGTGTACAGGGATAAGACTGTGTACAGGGACACCGGAGCAGGTGGCCAATGATAGTGAAAGGATCCTAAGTAATATTCTCCTAGCCATGTTCTATTTCCCTTCTCCCTCCCTTTACGTTCCCTTCACTTTCTCTCCTCACAGTATTATTTGCCATTAGAATTTGTATTTTAAAAAAAAATAGTTTGCTATTAATACTGTTTCATATCATTTAAATAACCTGGAAAAAGAAACTGATACTTCGGTATAGTAACTTCTTTGCATTCGTATGTTCTGGTAATGGCCTTTGTAAATAAAATCCAGAAAATTGACCTGATACCATTTCTACAGATGTCCTCTGTGACACAGCTTTCTTAGAATGAAATAACACTACTTGTACACTGAGCATTTTCATGCTGTATATCATGTCGATTCTTGTAGTGGAAGATGCTGAATTAGTTCTACCTAAATTAGCTGCTTCCTTGCTTTTAGAAGCAGAACGCTGCTTAAATGCCTGCTCTACTCGTGACTAATATGTTTTCTAGGGATAATTACTCCATTTACTGAAATGCCATGTAGCTAAAAACAAAGTATAATGGGAATGGACAAAAAGCTTACTGTCAGCCCCATGAGTAGTTTCCACTCTGGATGGCGTTTTAGCTCACTTTGCTATCGCAAACAGAACCAATGCCATTAGCAAATCCAGGCCTCACTTGGATAGATTGGCCTCGCTTAGATTGGTAGTAACTACAGACTGAAGAAAACAAGCAAACACTACACACACAGTTGCAATATAGTTAAAGTTTCTCTTTGCTCTTCAATCTAAGTGAGGCCAATCAATACTTTTGTTTGTTCTTCTACATGATATTTTCTGGTTAATTTGAGCTATTGCTATTTCCATAAGTATTGATGTGGGGTTTTTATTTTTTTGGACTTTTTTTATGACGTGTAACTGCTTTATGAATAGTTCTAACTTTATTCTTAATTTCAGGTTAGCTGCAATTTTGAGCCCCACTTAAGAGGAAACGTATATGTTCAATACCAAACGTAAGCATTTTTGATTTTCTTTTTCTTCCCTCACAGCATTGTTCCTATACAGCTATGTTGGATAATATTGTTTTTCTGCAACATTTACTTTTCTGTTGCTAGGGAGGAAGAATGCATGCAGGCATTTTCCTTGTTTAATGGTCGATGGTATGCATCGCGACAGCTTCAGTGTGAGTTCTCACCAGTAACTAGATGGAGAACCGCTATATGTGGTAAGTGGTAATGATTTTTCATGGATAGTTTGCTCCAATATGAACATGCCTTTCTGTGTTGTAATTGAATGTAATAGCCTAATGTGTTGCAGTAAAGTGTCAGACTTTGAACCTCCATCAAGTGCTTACTCCTAGTAGTGAGGTCTTATCTCTTGGAAGTAACAGGAATTCATTAATCCTAACTGTTACAATGTAGTAGTTATGGTGTCATGGTGATGTCCTCTTGCTTTCTGTTTTCTTGTCTTGAAGGACTGAATGTTTGTGTGTGGCACACCATGTCTTTCTAATATCCGTGCATATGGGTCTTTTTCTCTCAATGAGGACATGTTACTCGTTATGTTAACCATGACATGGACTGTGTTTCTTTCCCATTCTCTTTGATTATTGTGAGAACTGTTTGGGAGATATCCTTATTGTTTGCTCAATATATCTGACGTGTGCAGTAAAGGAAGAGAAGAACAAGAGCTTGGGATTGGACAGTGTATTCTAAAATGGGTGCCTTTAAAATTTTATCTTTGTGGCATTCACTGAGATTCTAAAACTTTGTGAATGATACTGCTCTGTAAAGGAGAGTTTATTTATTCAGCATTCAGAGTTAATACTTGTGTGTGAATAATCAGTCTTGTCAAAGTCTAGAAGCTCTTTGAAATGGAAACAACATAACAAAAGGGAGTCCCTGGGGAATAGGAATCCTTGTATTTAAAACTTATTTTGCTCTGAGGGTTCATGTGTGTCTTGAGAGTTTGCATTTATGGAATATGATTATATGGAGCAGAAAGAGAAACAGCAGAACTGTATAGTGCGTGGAGAATTTTTAGGTAGGACACAGTGTTATGTTTTTGTCCATATCTGTGTATTCCTGTTGTATACAAAGAGGCTTTTTATTGAAAGCAATACATTAACTATAGAAGTATGGTGATTGTGGATAAATTTGGCTTTTAAATTTGTATGATTTTTTTTTACCTTTGTAAGCGTTATATAATGAGGATATTTTATGGTACGCAGCAGAGAGAAGTGTGCCATCCATATATTGTGAATGAGGAAGGAGTAAAACATAGAATTGAAAAAGCCCAAGCTTAGTTGTAGAATATTACAATGTTCCTATTTATATTCATAGTAGGCATGGATGTCTGGGTTAAAAAGAACAGATGGTACTTTGCTATGCTGTACCATGAGAATTCTGGAATGTGGATTGGGGTTTTTGTCCTTATATTACTAGGGTTATACTCTAACGTCATTATGGTCATATCTATATAGAATAGTAAACAAAGGACCACGATGTTCTTCTTGTCCGGCTGTTTAACTGTGTAGAACTCTCCCTTCACGAATCCAGCAATTACCATCCTTGGGGGGGGTGACCAATCACTAAATAAAGTGATTGTGATCATGTCACAGAGGTTTTATAGCGCTGAGGAGGCGTATGCCATCCTTGCGTTAGAGCATGGGTCGTCAACCTGGTCCCTACCGCCCACTAGTGGGCATTTCAGGATTCCAGGTGGGCGGTAGGGATTTCAGAGATTGGGTGGGCGGGTGCGAGCCGGCGGTACCCGTGCGACCGGGTACCGCCGTCACCATTTTCGGCCCTGGCCCACGTGGCAAACGGCCGGGGCCGCCACCCAAGGGGTCCATCGGGTGGCCCATGCTGTCAGGGCCACCCGATGGATGTGGATTGAGAGGGGGCCCGGTCAGCGCTGGGCGCCTTAACAGCGCGACCGGGCCCCCTATTATTACATCACACGCTGGGAGGAAGTGACTGCACGTCACTCCTCCCAGCTAAAACTGAGAGCCGCGCGGGAGGAAGACCAGGGAGTCAGAGTGGGAACTCTGACTCCCATGCACCTGAGCCACCACTGGACCCCAGGGAAAGTCACCCTCCTGCACCTAAAAGGTAGGAAACAGGAGGGTGACAAAAATATTTTGTGTGTATGTGTCTTTGTATGTATGTCTTGTGTGTGTCTATGTATGTATGTCTTGTGTGTGTGTGTGTGTGTCTATATGTATGTATGTGTGTGTTTGTGTCTTGTGTCTGTCTGTATGTGTGTATGTGTACCTGTCTGTTTGTATGTATGTGTGTGTGTTTGTGTCTGTCTGTATGTGTGTATGTGTACCTGTCTGTTTGTATGTATGTGTACCTTACTGTTTGTATGTATGTGTGTGTCTGTATGTATGTGTGTGTCTGTATGTATGTGTGTGTCTGTATGTATGTGTGTGTCTGTATGTATGTGTACCTGTCTGTATGTATGTGTGCCTGTCTGTGTGTGTGTGTGCGTGTCTGTATGTGTGCCTGTCTGTTTTTCTGTATGTGTGCCTGTCTGTTTGTATGTATGTGTCTTTTTATGTGTGTGTGTGTATGTATGTGTGTGTCTGTCTGTTATAGTGGGCTATAGTAAGTGGGCTACCGAGCTAAGCCTTCCTACTGGGCATTGCTATAAGGAAGGTTACAAAATAGAAAAAAGGGATAAAAAAGGTGGGGAGGGGAATTGAGGAGGGAGATGAGATGAGCTGACGCACAGATGAGAAATCCTATTATGCGCAAACAGAGAAGTCGTCTGAATATCACCGAAAGAGGAGACCTTCGTTTGTTCCTTACGAAAATCGAACCAGATATCAAATATTTAGTCTTGCAGCATCAGCCTCAAGGATCTCATTAATCACTAGTAAAGGTAATTTCAATTTACTTTATTGTTTTCCAATTAAAATTTATAAAGTTAAAAATATTATAAACATGCATTATGTAGAAATAAAAAGATAAATGTACGTACATTTTTTTTTAAAAACACCCTCCTTTCTAAAAAATATTCCGCACTTGCGCGAAAACTGGTGGGCGGTAAGGAAATTTTTCCATCAAGAAAGATGCATTAGTGGGCGGTAGGTAGAAAAAGGTTGACTACCACTGCGTTAGAGTCTGACTCCGACCTAGATTTTGACCCTGCCAGGTGCTCAGATACATCACTAGATACAGTGTCTGCTGCTAGTGATGTATCTTGTTATGATATATCTGTGGCTGCTAGACCCCATGCCTCAAAGAGACGTGCTGCTCGAGCTGGCAGTGCTGCTGAGGAATGGGCAGCGCCTCATCAGAGGCCAGATATCCCACCCTTTACCGCAAATCCTGGCATCAATGTGGATGTCGCAGGATTTAGCCCCCAACAGTTTATGGAGGTGGCAGTAACACATAACAGGAGCTGATAATCAATGCCTAAAGTACAATGTGCATGAAAAGTGTTAAAATGCCACCATTTGAAATAACCTAGGGTGTCTACTTTTCAAAAATATATGGTTTGATGGGGGTAAAATACATTGCCGACTTCAAAAATGTCCCAAATAGGACATGGGTGCATGATGACCAGCTGTGAAAAGTCCAAGTTGGAAAACTGCAATGCGCACCCTCCAAATAAGGTCTTTTAGCCTCCAGAGAACCTGACACACCTGTACATGGTTGGTATCACTGTATTCAGGAGATGTTGCTGAACTCATATTGCGGTGTTCTTTGTCAGTAACACATAACAGGAACTGAGAATCCATGACTAAAGTACAATCTGTGTGAAAAATAACCCAAAAAATGACTACCCAAAAGTTTGACAAAGACTGGTGGTAGAATTAGTCACTAAGGGGTTAAAGTATGTAATAAAGTAGTTGTATTACTAAATTTTTTATCTTATGGCTTTATATTATTATATAACTAATTCTCCTCTTTCCTTGACATAGGTTTATTTGAAAGACAGAAGTGTCCCAGAGGGAAGCACTGTAACTTCCTTCATGTGTTTAAGAATCCAAATAATGAATTTTGGGAAGCAGACAGAGACTTCCATTTGTCCCCTGATAGAACTAGCACCTCAGACAGGAGAGAACGGTCAGGACGTTTAGAAGAGTATGGCTTCTCTAAGCGGCATCATAGTCCAAGCCCTGATTACTCAAGCAAGCGAAATGGGGAATCTAAGAGGCACAAAAGTAGCCATCATCACAAAAACAAGAAGCATCGGTCACGCCGATCGAGAAGCCGAGAAAGGCGGTCACGTAGCAGGGGCCGAAAAAAGCATAAGCACAAGAGCCGCAGTCCTTCCAGATCCAGAAGCCGCAACAGACTGTCCAGAAGCAGATCTGCAAGCTGCAACAGAAGATCGAGAAGCCGGAACAGACGGTCCAAAAGCAGATCTGGAAGCCGCAGCAAGAGATCTAGAAGCCGGAACAGACGATCCAAAAGCAGATCTGGAAGCCGCAGCAAGAGATCTAGAAGCCGGAACAGACGATCCAAAAGCAGATCTGGAAGCCGGAACAGACGATCCAAAAGCAGATCTGGAAGCCGGGACAGACGATCCCAAAGCAGATCTGAAAGCCACAGCAGGAGGTCCAGAAGCTGTGATAGGTGGTCCAAAAGTAGAGAAAAATCAGAGAGCCCCACAAGTCAGAAATAGCAGACAAGGTATTTCCATTAAGTTTATATCAAGTAAATAAATGCTGTTGGGTTTAACCGTGTCCCCTCTTTCACATTTTATATAACACCCTATTTCAAGAGAAAATAGCACTGTTATAAAAGTGCTAAATTGCACCGTCCCAGCTGTCAGACAGTACAAAGTGGAAGGCAATTTTTCACATGGCATGCATCCTGCCCTCAATGCCTCTCTCCTGGCAGGTGGGGCAGAACTGCAGTTAGGGACCCTCATACTGGTGGATAAGAGTAAAGTTAAGCATAAATGGGAGCGCAGGAGTCTTTGGAAACACTTCAGTGAAACCTCTGAGTAAGTGGCCAAATTAATGTGTGAATAGGAGCAATTTGGCTGTTTATCTCCAGCCAGGTTCCAAACTATGTCCCGAGTTGAAGTAAGAGATGTTCTTTAGCTGCAGATTCTGAGATCTCAGTTTGACACGCCTTGACCTAAACACTTTTAATGTAAAAGTCCACTATGGGGAGTTTTAAAGATCAAAACAAAAAACTACGGGGTAGCTACACCTTTTGGAAGCTATGGTTGGTTCTCCCATCTAAGAAATCCATCTTTAAATTTGGGAATTGTGATATATATATTGCAAAGATATGGGCTTACATGTATACCACTGTACAGTCCAATAAGAATACTTCAACTAAGAGTAATGTTTATATTTGCGTAAACTAGAATTGTAGTGTAGAATTGCCCATTTATTCCGTGTCAGAATGGAACACATGTTCACATGGTACTGAATGTTCTCTTTAAAACTTGACATTTCAGCAACATAACAAATTGCTTATTTTCCTGATTGATGTCTTGATTAGTGCAGCAGGATTATGCAGAAACTGCTGGACCATTCACAGCAGTTTATTGCTATGCATTGTGTAAAGGTTAAAATGTACTAAAGCATCAAATACGTTTGATCAATAGATGCAGCTGTGAACACAAATGACTTCTTTTTTTTTTCATGAAAATGTGTAAGCTTTTTAATAAAGAGCACGCTAAAGCAAAATGTAAAAGATTAAGCTTTAATTTAACTACAGCCAAAGAAAAAGTTACCTTCGCACTATCCCAAATCCCTAATGCACATTTAAATAGATTTTTTTAGTTTCACTCCAGTGGCCAGTAAAAGGGTAAGCCCACCTGCCACGTCAAGGCAAACCTCTTAGGTGAGTCTTACACTAATAAGTCACCTTGTTGCTTTCAGCAAGATGAATGGCACCCCATGTGTTCCCTATTAAGGGTTAATAAGTATGTAGGGGTTTAGAAAGATACCCCTCTTTGTCTCATTACAGATATTGTCTTTTAGGTTAAAGCAGCAAGATGAATTGTTAGTGTTAGACTCACTTAAGAGGTTTGCTTTGACGTGGCAGGTGAGCTTAACATTTAATGGTTATTGGAGTGAAACTAAAAATACCTCCAGTTATTTAAATGTGTACTATGGTCATTGCTGCTATCCAGGAGTGGTGGGAGTGTGAGCGCAAGACTTTTGTGTGTTTTTATTTCAAAAATAGATCTCTGCATCCATAATATTTAAATGCCATTGCCTTGAACCAAACATACCATAGAGCTGGTTTCCTAAACTCTAAGCTCGTTTGAGCAGGGTCTTCTTCCACCTACTGTTCCTGTAATTTTTGTAATTGTCTCATTTATTTTTAAATCTCCCCCTTCTATAATATTGTAAAGCGCTACGAAATTTGCTGACGCTATATACATGCCAATAATAATTATAGTCTTATTGGCTGTAATAATTCTAAATGGTCACTAATTGTACAAAGTTATTGTAATATAATGTATTCATGGGTGTACAGATTAACTTCTATTCCCATCCAGATGTTTTATTGGAGAACCACCTGGATTGCCCCGTTTTTTTTTTTTTCTCCAATTCTCTCTGGCTGCTATGCCGCAATGAGTTGTGCATGATACATGCAGTGCCTTCTCAGTTTGGAGAGACAGTGCTGCATGGGTTAATTTGTCCATGCATTCAGCCTCCCTAACCATCACTTGGTCCCTTTGTGCTCAAACAATACAAATATATGTTGGATCAGTCTCACCTTTTATTTGCTCGCAATTCAGTCAGCACAATGTACAGAATGCCTTTAAATTAAGTTTACTTGTGTGGGCTGCTCAATAATAGTGTGTGACTCCGCAGTGCACAATCCTGTTCTCTGGGTAACTTAATTGCAAGGCAGTTTACATTTTTTGTTTGTTTTTCAGGTATTGTGGTAAATCACAAATAAAATGGCAATGGAAGCCATTTTGGCTTATGGACTCTCGTGGATGCTATGTATCCTCATTTAAAGATTTTCAACAAGATTTCTTCGGATTAACAACATAGCCAAGGTTGCCCCTGAAACACATCGCAATGAATGTCTATCTTTCTACATTGACTTCTAAATGGTCCAGTGGCTGAATGCAGGTGTCTTTGAGGAAATGCCATTTTGTACAGTTGTATGAAAAAATGTAAATACTTTTAAATAAAGCTAGTTTGAAATGAACACTCGTTTTTCTATTACTGATGAAAAGCCTTGCATTGTACTCCAATAGACCTCCTCACACAACAGAATATTGAGAGCTGCCAAAGCATGCAGCGTGGCCTTTTAAATACTGCTAGAGGGAGAGGGAATAGAGCTTTTGTGGGCAACCAATTCCTGCCTTGGTGGTTCAGTGAAACAATCTTTTACGGGTATTTTAAAAACTCCTGTCTCATAGTTACCCTATGATCTTATTGTTTTTATGTCCCTAGAGGTAAACCAAGGTCCAAGGTTGCTTGCCCTGGAGTGGATGTGTATGTTGCCAACTGCCGCCCTCCCCCTTCCTCTCCCTCTCCCCCTCATACACAGACACATAATCATACAGTCACATACACAAATAATCAGGCTCAGTTACACAAACACCACATCCCTAAAATCCACACACTGTCATTTAATATAACCTTTTCTGCTTAATGCCAATATGGGTGCTAGAATTCTTGCGGTCTCTAGTGGTGGGGATGCAGGGATTTCTACCTGCTTCCACTCGAAGGGCTGTTATTTATTTTAAAGCATTATATAGAAAACGCATTAATATACCCACAGTTACAGTTCTTGCTTTTGCTGCTAATTCCCAGGGTGAGCAACGTCTGCAATTAGCTCTAATCAAGCCAGGAAGTGACTGGGCTCCCTTAACGTGGTATAGCACTCAGCATATCCTATGAGCAGCACATTTGTCAGCTTTGAATAATGAATGGTTCATTGGTATATGTTCCAGTTTGAACAAATTACTCAGTCCTCAATTGTTGTTTACAACTAATGACAGAGATGTATTATTTATGTTAAAATCTGAATGGAAATATTTTGATAATGGTTTTTGGTTTTTTTCCAAGTGATCTTCAAGATCGCTTAATAAAGCATTTATAAAAAGATTGTGAATTGCAGATTTATTTTCCATGTCTTTATATTTCTACACGTGTCCGTTCTGTAGAAAGTACGGTATATTTTCTGCACCTAGGTGCACATCTATCGATCTAGACACAATGCAGGTTAGCTTCATTACACCCATTGCCATCAACAATATAAACTGGTTTGAACAGTGGCCTCATTGTCCATGCTTTCTGCATGCCTGGTTTTGTTATTTATCTCTTGGGAAAAAAAAAAAAACATGGAATATGATGGCATTAAAGGCATACTCCTGACTAGTGTTTCTCAATTTTTTTACATAGAAGTACCCCTGCAGATCTAAAAACAAATTCCTAAGTGCCCCTATCTCGAGAAAGTAATTTCTTTATATCAGTCTCCGATACCCTGATCTACTCATTGACACACTCTCATACACATTTGAGTACAATATTTCCAGAAAATACATCTGTGACACGAAAGAAAATACATCTGTGACAGTACGGTCGTGTCCAGAAAGCTAGGAACTGGGCACAAGCACATGTTACGGAAAATCAATAACTTTCCCCTAGTCACAAGTGTCTTAAGTGCACCAGACACAAGACATGCCCAGTACATTAAATATACAAGAGTAACCATCTTTGTAAACAACTGATTTGCTACAGCGGATTATTTTTGCTTTTATAATCCCTTTGTTTTATTTTCTTAGTTTACCATTAAGCTTTTGAAAAAACTTTGAGAGGCAGTAGGCAGCGCTAGAGTGGATAATTTCCTGGTGTCCATTGTGTGGTTGTTCTGATCTTCCTGTTCTGCTCCCTCAAGCGCTGTTTACTGATGCCAGGGTCAGAGTGACGTCCCCAGATGCTATATTTCGGGAGAGTAAGCACCTGCCATCTAGGTAAGCAGGTGCCTCGAGGGGGCCATGACTGCTATCATTGCCTACAGAGGGCCCCGTAGTTTTGCCATTGATTCCTGGTGTTCTCCCTGCTTTTGCTGTGCGTTACCCCAGGCGTATGCATACCACAGGTTGAGAAACCAGGCTCCAGACCTCTAAGCACTTTAGCCTGCGGTAAAGGTTTGTGTGGAAAGTGTGTCCTATTTTTTTTCATTTTGCAAAATAGAAATTGACAGTTTCAAAAATTAACCTGGTTATTGTGTGCCTGGGGCTAGAAACACCACGGAGACACGGGACTTTGGCATGTTTTACGTCTGTCGTTAGGTCTCTGCACAGTGGTGACAGACATGTTCTAATTCTCTTCCTTGAAGCTTGTGTCTTCTCAACCTCCCCCCCCCTATACCCTCTGCATTATTTTTTTTCTCCTGTCCTAACTCTCTCCCATTTCACTTCACAGGTTCAGAGCTCAGTTAAATGATCCAATCAAAGGCATCTCTAAGAGAAACCTTTGATTGGAGCTTCATGCAGCTCATTTGAGGTCACAAGGTGGTCTCTAGTAGACAGCCACTAGAGGAGGAGTTAACCGTGCAAGTTAAATATTGCAGTTTTCAGAAACTGCAATAATTGCACTTGCAGGGTTAAGGATAGTGGGAGTGGGCACCCAGACCACTACAATGGACAGAAGTGGTCTGGGTGCCTGGAGTGTCTCTAAGAACCAATAGGTTAAACAATGTAACGTCAAAAAAAATCATGTGCCCCTAAAGAATTTATTATACACTTCCCAGAGGAGAGATACTATAATATAGAACAAATAAATATATCAATTTTTACCACACAAATAGAAATGAAGACATCTGGCATAAAAATGTACATTTATTGTAAATTAAATTACATATAAACACAAACAATGGTCACATGGGTTATATATCACAATTACAACAAAGCTTAGTCCAGCAAAGCACACAGAGATGAAAATACTAACAAACTAATACATTTTAAAATCCAGTTTCAAAATAATAAGAAAAACAGAAAACTGTACTTGCAAAAAAGGTTTCAAGTTGAGCACCAGTTCATAGAGATTACCTTGAACTAGTAGTTTTATCAGGTGAAAATGACCAGCTTTCTATATACCTCAAAAAGGTAATAGTATTTCTGCTAACTGTAGCTTTTACAGCTGGGGACTATAGGCAATGTAACCTTTATAACACTTGGGACAGGTCAGTGCTACATGTTAATCTGCTACAGTAACGGCAGACTGATTAATGCAATAAGAAACGGAATGTTTCTCTATTGTAGGCGCATCAAGCCAAGATAATGAAATATTCTAATGGTGGGGCCTTTATGGTCCTGCTTTAAAAATTATATACAAGGTATTCACAAATTCAGAATTTTCATGATATAAAGGGTCACTTCACTTTAACCAAAAAGTGTTTTTTTTGTGTTTGTTTTTAATAAACTGATGTTTTTGATTGAAATAAACCTGCTAGCATGGCCTACCTTTTTAAAATAATAAACTTACCTTACCAAGTGCAAGTTTACCAGCAGCCCAAATCTCCTTACATGATGTCACTTTCCCTCACGCCAGGGGGAGGAGGGGGAATGTCTCTGAAGGAGGACTTAGAGAAGCATGGATAAGGGAACAATGCCACCACTGGGTGTTCATCACCTGCATGCTTAAAACAAACATGCTATGCACAGAATTCAGATTTGTAACTAGTTCTGGTCTGCTAATGATGTTGTTTGAGGTAAAGTTACACCTCCAACAGCAAAAACATATCTCTATATGTACAGTCATTCCTACTGAAAGGCTACACATATATCTATAACATATATTGTATCTCATCCACACTTTGTCTCCTTCTCTTGCTTTGCCTCTCACTAAAATTGTCAAACTCTCCCTCTCCTCTGGAACATTTCCTTTACCCTTCAAACATGCAACCCTAACCTGATTCTGAAAAAGCCCAACCATGACCCTAATTCCCCATCCAACTACCGCCCTATCTCGCTACTGCTGTTTGTCTCCAAGATCCTTAAGCGAGTTGTGCATGCGAGATTGACAGACTTCCTAAAATCCAACTCCCTGCTTGACGCGCTTCAATCTGGATTCCGTGCTCGTCACTCTGTTGAAACAGCTGTGACCAAAGTATACAGTGATCTTATCACTTTTAAATCCCATGGCCACTACTCTATCCTACTTCTTCTCGACCTTTCTGCTGCTTTTGACACTGTTGATCATCAACAGCTTCTTCTCATCCTCCGTAATCTTGGTTTACAAGATACCGCTCTCTCCTGATGCTCTTCCTACCTCTTCCAGCGCTCATTCAGTGTTTCTTTCTCTGGCTCTGCCTCTTCTCCCCAATCCCGGTCTGTTGGTGTTCCCCAAGGGTCTGTCCTTGGTCCCCTATTGTTTTTAATCTACACTGCCTCCCTTGGTAAACTCATCAGTTCCTTCGGCTTCCAGTATCATTTCTTTGTGGATGACACGCAAATTTATCTGTCCTCTCCTGATTTCTCACCAACCCTCTCGACGTGTTTCTGACTGCCTCTCTGCTATTTCCAACTGGATGGCTGCTCATTTCCTTAAACTGAACCTGTCCAAAACAGAACTTCTGGTCTTCCCTCTCTCAAGTGTTGCTACTCCCTTGTCTGTGTCCCTCAAAGTCAATGGCGCTACCATCCGCTCTACCTCCCAACTTGCCCCGTTACAGTCTATAATGAATGCGGCAGCGAGGCTCATCTGTCCGCCCGCACCTCCACGCCTCCCCCTTTGGCAGTCCCTCCATTGGCTTCCCGTAAGATATAGGGCTCAATTTAAGATCCTGACACTTGCTTACAAATCTCTACACAATGCTGCTCCCACCTACTTACCCTCACTAATACACAAATATGTCCCATCTAAGCCCCTACGTTCTGGTGGAGACCTACGTCTAATCTCTGTACGTACTCCTACCTCTGATGCTCACCTTAAAGA